AAGGGTATTGACAGGCAGATAACAAAATTCATATATACAATTAATTTAACACATTAAAATATTCCTAAGTAGTTCCATTCAAAGAACCCCTAATTTGCAACAACACAACAAATCTACAAATCTACAAACTTTCCTTTTTAAGTCTGCTAAATTAGGTGTGCTAACAGGGCAAAAGTGAAGAATGATCTATCTACCTCAAATAGTACTTTATACAGTGACCAAAAAGTATGCTACACTTCCTACCAGGACTGACAAACTGAGAAATCAAATTGGCTCAATTTTTCAGGCACAAACATTCTTTGGAAGTTCAGAAAAATGTATTTAGTTGGGAGAAAAAATGGCCCATGACTGTAGTCTAAGTATTACATTCATTCTTCATTCATTCAATAAACTTACTGTGTACCCCCTAAGGTGTTAAGCGTGGTGTTAAGAACAAAAGTTGATTAATACTCAGTGTATTAATCATGGGTTATTTTCTGTATGCTGACGGTTTGACGGATGCGATCTTGATGACCCTGGAAAGGATGCCCCTCCCAGGGCTAGCCAATTCCTAGAGATAGTAAATGACTGCCTTCCGACACACATTCCATATGCAAACCATCTGATCCAGAGCCCATACTCCACTACTTCTTTCATCAGGCTCTTACACTTAGAGCCACTATCCCCCTGCTCTAATCACCAAAGGGCCAGGTAACACACAAGTGGCAAAAGTGCCTATACCCTAGAGCCTACTGAATTTAAACTAGCCCAGCCTAAACTTCCCATCCTAAACCTCCTCGCCCTCACTTTCCCATTCCTTCCCATGGAAACCACAAGAAAGGTTCATGCCCACATTGTCCCCCGACTCCCTGTGCCTCCAGACCAACCTGGTGCTTCCCTGTGCTTCTGTGTGGTGTGGAGTGCATCCTCCCCTTGGGAACTGCTAAAGACAAACCATCTTTCAATGGCCATTTCCCCTGATCTGATGGCCTCGCCATATCCAAATAAAAATAAAACCTGCACTTTACTTAAAGCACTCAGGAACTACTAACGATGCACTCATATTTAGTAATGTCTCCTGAACCAATAAATGACTGAATAAGCAAAGCATGAATGCTGGCAACAAACAGGCAAGCAAACACTAGATCGCAATTTCAAGACCTGAATCCTAGCATTTTCAGCATGTGACAAGTTGGGCAGGAGTGAAATGGATTTTTAAAAAATCCCCACATGACAATTAGTAGCTTATCTTTAACAGTATTGTTTAGCAATACTGTTAGATGGAAACTATTAACTGCATGATACATTGCAGAGAAGAAAAGTGAACGGTACCTTGCAGGCCTGTCTTTCTAGGATGTATGTTCTACTCTCCACCCAGCTCTGTCCCTAATACCCTCACCGCCCTTGCTCTAAGGCCTTGAGCTGGGGGGGATGACAGAATCAAGACTGCAAAAGAATACAGGCTTCCTTATGGGAGTGATGAAAATGTTCTAAAACCAACTATGGTGATGGTTGCAAGACTCCGTGAAAAATTCTAAAAACGACCGAGTTGTACCCTTTATGTGGGTGAATTGTATGGTCTATGGATTACATGTCAATAAAGTTGTTACACCCCCCCCCCCCCCCCCCCCCACACACACACACGTTTCTAAGACATTTTTCTTGGGAAAGACAAAAAATTGAGAACTGATTTTCACTATAGAAAAGCTACTGAGATCTTAGGCCAAAGATTTGCAAATAAAAGAAAATACTATAAAATATTAAAAAAATATATGACCTGGAAGTAAAAAAGAAAAACACATCCTATTTTAAGGGATGAAAATAAAATTCTATAAAGTTAAATACTCATTTAGAAATGGTCAGTTTAAGCCAAGTATAACTCAGGTGAAGCAACATGTCTACAACTTAAAAACTGTAAACTGCCTTTAATTTAAATATGTTTAAACTATACCAAAATAGTACTCTTTGGAAACTGTTACCTTGATTCAACTAGTCTAACATTTTAAAAGTCGTAAAATGACTTATCTTAGAAACCATATTAAAGTTTTCTTAAATAATAATTAATGTTCAAGTGTAGATATTATATATACTATTTTTGAGATGAACGAGAATTATGGAGAGGTACCAAGTATCAAATCTAAGCAGATTTAGTAAATCTGATACTCAGAGGAGTATATTATAAAGGCAATTTCTCCCGGAAAGCAAGCTATCATACCTAAAAACCACGCAGCTTTGCCAATCTCTTTAATTATTCAACTAGCTTATGTTAAATATTGGTGACTTCGTTAAATCTAAAAATAAAAGTCAAAATTCTTGCAATACTTGCTCTCAAAGAACACTTACATCTGAAATGCTTAGAATCGCATTATAAAAATGTGTCTTTGAAGGTGGAAGATGAATTGCTATTTTAGAGAAGACAGTCAAAGTGAAGTTTGATTACTCTCATCTCCAAGTAGTAGTTTTGTTTAATCTATGACTTTGGAAGAAATTTTTTTGGAAAATATTAAAGGAGATATATGTAAATAATGTTATGGTCATATAAAAATGAAATGAAGAAAATACTGCTTCCTCTACATATAAATATGACCCTAAGAAAGGCAGGATATTCAAACCTGGAATTATTCCAGCTAAAGAAAGGAAGAGGGAAACAAAAATGACTCAAGACAAGTGCACTGCATAAGTTTAAAAAAAAAAAAAAGATTGCACTATGTTAAGAAGGTGATCAAGACAATAGAACAAGAATGTACACAGCAGATATCCTTAGGCTGGGGATAAGGCAGAGTACTATAAAACATCATCAAGCAGAAAGTAACATTCCTTAGAACATATGTCACTGATACACATTTTAAAAATGAATTAATGAACAGGATATCAGACACTCAATAGACCTGAAAATGTACTTAATTAAAAATGAGTGCACGTACACAAAGAGACTTAGGCTTCTTGAACTCTTTCCTGCAGTATATGGATGAATAGGTGAGAAAAGAAGAGAGAAAGAAAGGAAAGAAATAAGAACAGCTAACCTCATCTATCCAAATAGTCTGAGCTTACATATATAAACTCATTTAATCTTTACAATACTCTCACTAGGAACGTATCTGCAATTTAAAAACAAGGAAACGTAGGCACAGGTAAGTCAAGTAAGATGGTCATGGTCATCAGCAAGTCACTACTAGCAATGAGATTTCAATGTAGTTCCGAAGTCTATAGTTTTTACCAAATTTCTCAACCAGAACTAGATTAGGGTAAAGGAGAGTTTAACAGTTTCCCAAATGGTCATTCTTGAAAGCAGTGATTCTAAACTGGAGGTTAGAGGTTCACTGGTATCTTTCTGCATTTAACGTGTGTTATCTCTAATTTACCCTCAAGAATTTCAGTACTTGGTTAGAGACAACTCTAACATGCTTTATTAACCTTAATATTTTTTCCATTCATTAATTTATTCAACAAATGTTTACAGTGTTGGCTACTGTCCAAGACGAGGTTTTTTAACACTTCCATGTTAAAGGCCTAAATACTCTCAAGTCACTGTTTCTCCAGTAAGAAAGGAAAACAGAAGTAGAAACACAGGTAGCTGGAATTTGGTCTTCAGAAATCAGTAAGATACCACTCAATTTCAGAGTGAGGAAATATGTTGATCTTGTGCACGTACACCTAAGAAAGAGCACCACTCTGTATTTAAAGGAACAAGTCCTGGCATCCAGTGGGGCCAGCTCAAAATATGCCTTATGTTATGCCACATGCCACACACAAGGAAAGTTAGTTTACATCTTCAAGTTATTTCTTTGCTCTATAAAAAGAAAATATTCATGCCTATACCTCAGGACTGTATTAAAAATTGAATGAGATGTAAATGTTAAACATGTGGCAATATATAAAGACATACAGCATTACAGTATGTGTTCAATAATTATCTATTGCTATGGTGTTAGGACAAAACAACTACCTGTGGGCTTATTTCAAACTACCATATCAGAAAAAAACAACACCTACTAAGTGGATTTATTTCAGTTCTTTATAGGATTTAGTTTATCCTAACTTATCATTAGGATACAAGTGTTCTTAAAGTTCCCTAAGACATAATGATCTAGTTTATTATTCTCACACAAAATCAATTTTAAGGCCTGCTTTACACCTTTAAAATTAAAAGTATAAAAAAAACAGGGGTGCCTGGGCATTTCAGTCAGTTAAGGGTCCAAATCTTGATTTCGGCCCAGGTCATAATCTCCCAGTTTGTGACTTTGAGCCCCGCATTGGGCGCATTGGCTGACAGTGTGGAACCTGCTTGGGATTCTCTCTCTCCCTCTCTCCCTCTTTCTCTGTCCCTCCCCTGCTGTGCTCTCCCTCCCTCTCTCTCTAAATAAAAAAAATTTCAAATAAATAAGTAAAGAGAGAGAGAGAGAGAGAGAGAACGAAAGAAAGAAAGAAAGAGGTAATGCCAAACTCCACAATGACAAGGGGTAAAAACAAAAAAAAACTGATAGTGTTGTTTAATGTCCAAATCAAAGGATTTTATATTTGCTTTATGGAAATGAAAGTTTTAACAAAGTGTGTAAACTATAACAAAATGACTTTAGCTATGCAAAGAGAAAAAAGAAATTGCAAGCTTCTTTAGAGATAATGCACAATAAGTAACAACAAATTATGTAACATTCTTTTGAATTACCAGGAGGATACTTTATGAAGTGCTACTGACATCATTTTACACGTTGACCTTATACAAAAAAGAGGACCTAAAATAAGTAGTAAAATCTGATTATAAAAAAATGAAAATTCAGACAAAAGTGACATAAATTATGAAATGAACATGACCAAGTTGAAGTGAAGTGCCCACCACTCCCATTCACATCTTTTTTAGATCTAGACCAACACTTGTCCCATCATGGTCTACTAACAAAATTAGCACACATATATATATAATACAACACTGCCCAGCAACATGCAGCAATACCAACGGCCAAAGATAGTGCTAATATTTTGATACTCTAAAGAAACAAAAGTATTAAAAAGCATTTCCTCACCTATTATCAGATGGCAGAAGAGAAAGCAAAGCCAAAGCTGAAAGTTTTCTTCTTTCAGGCTGCGTAATGTTGTCCATTCGATCAACCCACATTTCAATCATATTTCCCAAAAGCTGATCCATCTGAAAAAAAGAGCAGGAGGCATCTTAAAATAGATGAAATGCTATTTACTTGCGGAGCACTACTGTTAAAGGCTAAGACCTCACAAGGTGTGGTTAAAGTTCAATTCCAGCAAATGACAGAACTGAAATACAAGAATTTGGGGCAAGCCTGGAGCTGGAAAGGAATAATTTGAGCAAACCGGAAAATGACTCTCATTAATCTTGAGAGCCAACTTATTCCGAGATCTAAATAGATTTAGATTTTAGTAATTTCATTTAATAAATCACCAATCCAATACACTCCTGGCCACTAAAAAAGTACACTCATTTTTCAAAATTGTCAACTTGTACTTAGGTTATAGTTATTCACTTGGGTGATTAGATGTTTAAATATTTAAAGCGTAATTTGCTGGACTGATTTGTCGCTACTTTTAGAGGAAAGGATAGGTTGTAACCTCAACCTGCAGTATTTCAAAGAAAAATAAATCAGTTTCCAGGACATTTATATGCTACATTAAAAATAATCAACATAATACAGAATTGCTAAGTGTGCTGGTTAAGTGTACCTTTCAACTCCGCCAGGCTAAGGTGTCCAATTGTCTGGTCAAATACTAGTCTAGATGTTACTGTCAAAGCAGTTTATAGATATGATTAACATGTACCAAGAGTTGACTTTAAAGAAAAGAGAGATTACCCTAGATAATGTGGATTGGGCCTCATTCAATCAGGGAATTTCCCCTTAAGAGCAAAACTTAAGGTTTCCCAGAAAAGAAGAAATCCTGCCTCAAGACTATAACCCAGAAATCCTATTTCAATTTTCAGCTTTTCCTAAAAAATTAGGACTCGCCAACGCCTACAATCAAGTGAGCCAATTCCTTAGAATCACTCCCTCCCTGCCTCCTCACCCTCCATTCTCTCATATTCTCTCTCATCCTTGTGTGTGTGATGTGTATACATGCACACACATCTCTCTCCACACAAAAGATTCTCTTTTTTCTGGAGAACGTTGACTCAAAGTGTTAGAACCTATCAAGGAAAACACAACCAACTGTACTGATCATAGTGACTGAAAGTCAATCTCAGGGTTTGCTTATAAACACTTGTCCACTTATAGTACTTTTGAAAAAATGCAATTACTATCAACATCTCTACTTCATGGATTTGGGGAATATAAAATCAACCTTAAGTTCCCACACTGTTCTTCTTATATGCCTCTACATGTTTTCCTAGAAATACTTCAACTTTGTACAAGTAATAAACAGTCAAGGAAACACATGTTCAAGACAATTACGTATATGAGTTCTGCTAACTGTGTGCTGCATCCTAGGATGCAATGAAGTCACAAAAGGCTTATAATTATTCAGAGACACAGAGAAATATCTGTCAGATACCACAAGAATTCTTCTTTATGATGACTTTCTATCTTTGGGAAGTACTACTCAGAAATCCAGGTAAAACAAAACGAAGTTGCAGGTGTCCAATCTGACTCCAAAGTTTGAGAATCTGAGTGGTGCCCAATAAGCATACATATTCCATTAGTAAGTAATTGTGGCAATTTAAGAATGAAATAAATATATTATTCTTTCTTTAGAAAGAATTGTTTTTCAGTTAACTACTAAATTATTAGGACTAAAGTACATATTAAGCTGCATGGAGCCAACCAGTTAATAAAAGAAACCATGAGATATTTTTATTTCTTCTGGCTTATGAGCACGTGAAAATATTATAGACACGCTAAGGGCGCCATGAACCATGACAATTTGGTAACTTCTGATATATATCACTTGTCTTCAAGTCACATTTAATTTGGAAACAAATGGTAGAGAGGCTCTCTAGACTTCCTACAATTAATACCTAGTAAGCAAGATTTAAAAAATAAACCATAACCATTGTAAAAGCAAATATCAAGTTAACATTGAAATGTAATGTATACAACTAAAACTACAATAAAGTATCTGGTTGGAATAAGGATGCAATCAGCAAAGACAGATGTCTCCATAGTCTATACATTTATTTCCTTGATTACAAAAATAATAACAGCACAAAACAGTGAATGTGTGGGGACTTAAATAAACAATTCGAACACAGGGGCTCAGCAAGCTTTTTCTGTAAAGGGACAGTTAGTAAATATTTAAGGCTTTGTGGGCCTTATTGTCTCAGTCATAAATATTCAACTCTCAACATTAGTCATAAACAATATGTAAAGAAATGCACATGGATGTATTCCTGTACAAAATTTTGGAAAACTTTCATGTGTCAGTAAACACTACTATTCTTTTTTCAACCATTAAGAAATATAAAGCCCATTCTTTTTCTTTGTTTATTTATTTTCAGAGAGAAAGAGAGACAGTGTAAGCAGGAGAAAGACAGAAAGGCAGAAAGAATCCCAAGCAGGCTCTGAGCTGTCAGCACAGAGCCTGACATGTGGCTCAATCCCACGAACTGTGAGATCATGACCTGAATTGAATCCAAGAGTTGGATGCTTAACCAACTAAGCCACCCAGTTCATAGACATCCCTATAAAAATCATCCTTAACTCACAGACTTTACAATAACAAGCAGCAGACTGAATCTGGGCCATAGGCCATACATAGTCTGCTGACCCTGTGAACACATGAATAGAGCCAAAACAAGGATGAAGCAAAAAAAGTGTGAGGTCAAAATTTAAGGAGGTGCTCACTCTCAGCACCTCACTTGCCTCACCCAAACCTGGCCCTGATGATAAATGCATAGTTCCCAATACTATAGGAATACCTAAGAAAGACCCAACTAAAGCTTAGGAGACTAAGGCAAAGTTACCTAGAGGAGCTTAGTTGTTTTTTTTTTTTTTAAGTTTATTTATTTTGAGATAGAGAGAGGGTGTGAGCTGGGGTAGGGCAGAGAGAGAGAGAGAGAGAGAGAGAGAGAGAGAGAGAGAGAGAGAGAGAGAGAAAATCCCAAGCAGGTTCCACAATGTTAACACAGACCTCAGCATGGAGCTCAAACCCATGAACTGTGAGATCAGAATCTAAGCTCAAACCAAGAGGTGAATGCTTAACCAAATGAACCACCCAGGAACCCCTAGAAGATTTTAGTTTTAAGGCAGAAGGAAACAAGATGAAGAATCAAGCTTAAGGAAGGTGAGAGACTGGGACGGGGTGTTTAAGGGAGAGGGAATGAACAGCATGTAGGCAAGTACTCTGGAGCAAGAGGAAGGTAAGTGCTCTCAAGAAAGTGAAAAGTGATCTGCGCAGTGAATAGCTGATCATGAAGTTCCAAAATGAGGCTAAGGGATGAGGCTAAAGGAGTCAAGAACTAGATTATGGTAAGCTTTTGTAGGCAAACCTATCCTGGAAGCATATGGACATTTTGTTTTCATAATGCAGCATTATCAATTAGTACTGAACGTAGGCATTTGTTGGACTCCCCCCTCCCCTAAATCCCACAATGAAAGTAAAGAAATATAAAAAGCAAAGGATTAATCCCATAGAGTCCAAGAGGAGAAACTACACTGGGTAAAGACAGCAACAGTGTTTTGAGGATGGCCGGTGCATGAAACAATCTTAAGTGACTGGGCAGAACAGCAAAGCCTGAAACCAAGCTGCCTGCCAAGGAAATAACAATAATGTAAGCAGATGTGGTCCTCAGAATCCTGCAATCATCATGCCTCAAAGAAGGCAGAGGTGACGCACAGAGCTCAAAACAGGAAAACTGGCTGAGAATCTGTATAAGAAACAATCAGAACCTTGTAGATCCCCTTTCCCACTCCTGAAATAATTCAGAGACACAAAATCTGAACAATTAAAATCAGAGAAGCTCCAACTCAAGAAACCAAGAACAGAGGAAGGCAAGGTGAGGTATAAATTAAAGTCAGAGAATTTAAATGAAAATCTAGATGCTGAATGGTGAAACATTCTCACCTGCAAAGCCCTTCCCCCACCCTGACTTCCACAACAGTTGTTCATACTAAAAGAGAGGCTATGCCTCAGGAGAAAAAAACAAAACAAACAAACAAACAAAAAAAACCCCACCTACAAATACTGTGACTTTCTAGTAAATTTCCCTAGACCACGCAATATCCCCAAAGTTCTAAGCTCTAAATTAGGTGATTAGTCTAAAAAGTTTTCATCATTCATTCAATATAAACAAGTAACCCTGAGAGACTTCGCACAACAAATGCTTAGAAGAAAAAGTACTCTAATGGTGGCTTCTGCAATAAACCCAGCTCCTTTCCCAAAGATACGAAATCATTCTTAGTTTAACTTGGCCTACTCTACTATCTCATACTGTTCTCAAGTGTTGAGAAGAGACAACCCATCTCCAAAACCCTTGCTTGCTTCAAAGCTATCTGGATTTACTGGAATTCATTTGCCTAGCCCTAATTAATTCCTGCATGTATTTTTGATGTTCTTCAAAACTGTGCTTAGAGTCAAAAGCAGCCATCTGAACTGGAATACTATTTTATTCACTTCCATTCCCTTCGTCTCTACGCTCAAACATGATGGCTTGACATGTTTTTGTTGAATTCTTTGAGGAAAAACAAATATCCTCTTCGTCATGAAAAATGAAAAGAGAAAAGATAAGAAGTGTTCCATAAAAGGCTTACGCTCTAAATACCAGGAATGAAAGAAGTCTGAACCAATAATAACAGCTCTTTCCTCAATCTTTCACACTGTCAACGGGCTCCAACAGTCCCAGCAATAGCCACTGTTTGTGATTTCTCTTTAATATGAAATTTAACACCGTGGAGGTGGCCTTTTCTTCTCATCTATTTTTTTTAAATGATGATTATTTAAGATAACATGGAAACATAGATAGGAAATTACAGAAAATTTTCTGTATGACTTTTTAATGCACCACGTTAAAAACAAAACAAAACAAAACAAAAAAAAACACAGTAAAAAAGCTTCCCCACGTTGGATTTGACAATGATTTCTCGAATATGGCAGAAAGGCATAGGCAATAAAAGGAAAAGAAAGGCAAACTGGACTTCTTGAAAACTAAAAAATTTTGTGTAGCAAAAGTATCAGCAAAGGAACAAGGCAACCCACAGAACAGGATAAAATATTTGCAAATCATTTATCTGGAATTAATTAATATCTAGAACACATAATATCTAGGAATTAACATCTAGAACATATAAACAATTCCTCAAACTCAACAACAAAACACAATCTGATTGAATGAAGGGCAAAGAACTTGACTAGACATTTCTTCAAAGAAGAAAAACACAAATGGGCAATGAGCATATGAAGAGACAGTCTACATCACTATTCCTCAGTCTACATCACTATTCATTCACAAACACACGGAGATACCACCTCACACACATTAAGGTGAACACTCTCAAAACAACAACAACAACAAAACAGAAACAACAAGTGTTGGCAAACACTGGAACCCTTGTGCACAGTGGGCAGGAATTTGAAATGGCACAGCTGCTGGGGAAAAGAGTATGGTGCTTCCTCACAAAATTAAAAATAGAATTACCATATGACCCGGGGATTCCACTTCAGGATACCAATCCAAAAGAAGTGAAAACAGTGACTTCGAGAGGTAAGTGTAAAGCCATGTTCACAGTAGCTTTATTCACAGTAGCTAAATTGTGGAAGTAACCCAAGCATGAACAGATAAGCAAAATGTGGCATATACATACATTGGAATATCTTTCGGCCTTAAAAAGAAAGTAAAATCTGACCTATGTTACAACAAGGAAATTATGTCAGTAATGTAAGTTAGTCACAAAAAGGCAAATACTTTATGATTCCATTTACATGAGGTACTTAAGAGTAGTCAAAATCACAGGCATAGAAAGTGTAATGGTGGTTGCCAGCAGCTAGGAGAGTTATGGTTTAACGGGTGTAGAGGTTCAAGTTTTATAAGACTGCAAGAGTTATAAAGATGGATGGTGCTGATGACTGTACAACATTATGAATATATTTAATACCACTGAACGATACACTTAACAATCACTGAAGGTAAATTTTATATGTGTTTTATCACACACAAAAAAGGAAAAAAATGTAACATAGGAGACAGCTCTCTTCTCACAGCACAATGAACACATCTCTAACATAGTGCTCATACGATTACTGTGAAATTACCCATTTAAGTATTCTCTCCCTTAAGATTACTCTAAGCTTGTCAAAACAAATGTCTCCAGTGTGTAGTGTACAAGTGTCTGATCCAGGATGGATAGGAGGCAGTGTAGAGTGTTCACTGAGACATGAGGCTCCAAAGATAGGTTAGCTGGAATATACACAGAAACTCCATCACTTACTAGCTGTGTAAAATTAGGCAAGCTCGTAAATTTATGGAAGCCTCGGATTTCTTATATGAGAGATGGAAATAAAAATACTATTATTTCAATAGGTTGTTGTAAGGATTTAATATAATACATGACACTTATATTGTTGTTAAATATACTGTTATTTTAAAAATCACTCAACAAATTTTGCTAAACTGAACTAAATAAACTCCTTTAACTGTTTTAATATTATCCCATCACAGCTAAATTTAATGAAGGTAATGAAAAATCTTACATATCTATTCATCTAAACAAAGGCTAGGAGTTCTAACGATATTTAGATATTATCTAGTGATAATATCTAAATGAAATTCTAGAAAAGCCATATACATTCTCAAATTTGCACTTCCTTGATCTAGATTTCCTTTAAGTGGAAATAACACATCTGTTATTCTTTGTTTTGTTTCACAGAGATTTTACAAATTGCCTCCATTCTAAAGACATCGTTCAAGTACTTTTCCACCTTCTGGATCTTACAAATGTGAAAAGATTAAGGACCTAAAACACAAAAACCATATTTTAACATAATGTATATAGTCTCAAGTAACCAACTCACTTAAGAACCTTATTCCATACTTGCCCTGGTGGCTGGTTTCAGTTACAGTATTTTTTTAGTAAGCTTTTGCTGATAACCTTATTTCCCACAATAATTATGAAGGAAACTCACTGCATGACATTGCAAGACAGCAAATAATTTTATGTCAAGTATTTCTGCTTCAAGTATGAATAAAAACTGCAACCATAAACAAACCAAAATTCCATCCTATGGCTAAGCAGAATACAAGTGCCTATTATGAAGAGAACAAGGGTAAATTTCAGTTGCCATTCACAGATTCCTTTTTCTTTCTTCAAAATTACAGGTATAATGTAAGTTATTAAAAATTTTAAATATAAAATTTTAAATACTACAAGACTTTTATAGAATTATTCCACCAAATTATTTCCAATCCTTATTTGAATAAAGACTGAATTTCTTTAACTAAACTGATTCTTACCTCTTGATTAAATTTATGTGCCATCTCATTAAGAAGCGAAGAAAAAAAACTAGTATTTTGTAGCAGGACTCGACCCATAACGCCAAGATATGTTGACATCACGACAGGATACCTCTGTAAAAATAAATGACAGCACACATAAAATTATGTCAGGAGTATAGGTAGGAGTCAAAATTAGGTAGGAGTATAAATAAGAACAATTACGGACACAGTAACAGTCAACAGGGATATACGATAACATTCTACATCAAAATCCCTTCTTTAGGGGGCGCCTGGGGGGCGCAGTCGGTTAAGCGTCCGACTTCAGCCAGGTCACGATCTCGCAGTCCGTGAGTTCGAGCCCCGCGTCAGGCTCTGGGCTGATGGCTCAGAGCCTGGAGCCTGTTTCCGATTCTGTGTCTCCCTCTCTCTCTGCCCCTCCCCCGTTCATGCTCTGTCTCTCTCTGTCCCAAAAATAAATAAACGTTGAAAAATCCCTTCTTTAGGATAAAGTGCCAGTATTATCTGAGTTTGAAGTAACTTACTAAATATATGTCATACAAGGTCAAATAAATGTGTTACATATATGTTATATGGATTATAAACAGATACACAGAAAGAATATTTACCGATGGCTTATTTATTCCTACTACTGTGAATACTCCAAAAGTACATAGTTACATGGATCAACTTAAAAGAGTGACTTCAAAAAAAGAAGCATTATTTGCATATGTTTAATAAGTGCTACAACTAGTACTGTTCTTTTCCATTCCTCTATTTCAAATCTTTGTGGATGAATACACATGCATATGAATAAGAGACATACGTTCAAAAAAAAAAAAAACCTATACTTTGTGGAGAAGGAAAATGCAAAGTTGGATAACTACCCTGAAAATTACTTGATATACTTCAAAACACTCCAATTATAAGAAAAGGTCTCTGTTTATCTGTAATAATAAAGAAAAAGCATTTTTCCAACGAAGAAGGAAAATAAAAGTAGATGGCTCAGGCAGTTAAGCATCCGACTCTTGGTTTTGGCTCAGATCATGATCTTGCAGCTCCGTGGGCTTGAGCCCCAGGTCAGACTCTGTGCTGGCAGTGTGGAGCCTGCTGGAGAGTCTCTTTCTCTCCCTCTGTCTCTGCCCCTCCCCCACTCATGCTCTCTCTCTCTCTCTCTCTCTCTCTCTCACACACATAAATGCATACATACATACATACATACATAAAACTTAAAGAAAAAAAGTAGAATCCTAGAGTCCAATACTACTACTCTTAGAAGCTTAAGGAAAATCTTACCTCTCCTTCTATAATACCTCTGAAAACACAGGGTAGAATTGGTTGAAACATCTGTGGACCTAATACTGGGTTCACTTTAAGGGCGTTTTCCACAACCTAAAAATCAGAAAGACATACTTGTAATAATAATGCAAGTAACTGCTTCATGCAAATACAGGTAAAGAAAACAATGAATTAAAGAACACACACTAAATCTCAGAATACACAAACACATGACATATACAATATTCCAACACTAGATGCACTTTTACAATCCATTAAAAATCGATTTGATAAAAAAAGTGATATAAGGTGTATAATATATAGACATAGCTATACATACCACATAGAATAATTAATCACATTCTAATAACAGGTATCATTCTGTTAATGTATCACATTTGCATTATAAAAAACCCTTACAAAATGTCACACCAACAGAGGCAGCAAAAGGCATTTCATAAGTGTTTGCTTTTTTGTAGTAATTAAGACAGTATGGCACTGGCACAACAACAGACACATAAATCAGTGGAACAGAACAGAGAGCACAGAAATAAACCCATAATTATATGGTCAATTAATCTTCAACAAAGGAGGCAAGAGTATGCAATGGGAAAAAGACTGTCTCTTCAACAAATGGTACTGGGAAAACTCAACAGCTACATGCAAAAGAATGAAACTGGATCATTTTCTTATACCATATACAGAAACAAACTCAAAATGGATTAAAGACCTAAATGTGAAATCCAAAACGATAAAATTCCTGGAAGAAACATAGGCAGTAATGTCTTAGACGTCTGCTGTAGAAACACTTGAGTCTCCTTTGGTGAGGGAAACAAAAGCAAAATGCAAGCATTGGAACTACACCAAAATAAAAAGGTTTTGCACAGCAAAGGAAACCATCAACAACAAAAAGACAATCTACCAAGCGTAAGAAGATAATTGCAAATAATGTATCTGAAACGGGATTAATATCCAAGACATATAAAGAACTTAGACAATGCAATACCACCACCCCCAAAAAACAAATAATCTGATTAAAATGAGATGACAAAGAGGTATTTTTCCAAAGAAGACATATACATTGCCAACAGACACATGAAAAGATGTTCAGTATCACTCATCATCAGGGAAATAAAAATTAAAACCAAAACGAGGCATCATGTCACACCCAAAAAATGGCTAAAATAACTGAGAATGTGGGGAAAAAGGAACCCTGTTGCACTGTTGGTGGGATTGCAAACAGGAATATTACTCAGCCATAAAAAAGAATGAACTCTTGCCATTTGCAACAACACAGATGGATCTAGAGGGTATTATGCTATATGACGTAAGTCAGTGAGAGAAAGACAAATACCATATGATTGCACTCGTGTGGAATTTATGCAACAAAATAGTTTACAAAGAAAAAAAGAGACAAGCCAAAAAAACAGTCTTAAATACAGAGAACTGGTGGTTACCAGAGGTGGTAGGTGGGAAGGTGTGTGATATAGAGTGAAGGGGATTAAGAGTACACTTTTCATGCTGAGAACGGAGTCATGTGCAGAACTACTAGATCATTATATTACATACCTAAATAATGTATGTTAATTATTTTTAAAAGTATTGGCTTTTAAGCGAGAAAAGGGAAGTTAATGAAAACTATACTCACTCTCCAAAGGTGAATCCACCTTCCAAGTTTATCAATAAATTAGACAAAAAAGGCTTGTTGCATACATACTGTATATTTATTAAGTGAGAAATAATCTTATTTCATTTATAATATAATTATGTAAGTTACCAATCATCAACACTGATTGTTACAGGTGAAAATTTTGAAGTGTGAGTGAAATGGGTTCCCTCTATAACAAAGATAGGTAGCATGAAATTCAAAGTAGAGTGAGATTTTTTGTTTGTTTATTTTTGTTATATTTTTTAGGGAGCAAGAAGGGCAATAGTCAGGAAGCAGCAATGAGGACCAAGAAGGAATTTCCCATGCTTATAGCACCACTGCTGGAGAGGTAAGAATGAAACCAGACACCATTTAAGAGGTTTGTGGGCAGGTACTAGACTCAAGGCAGAGCCAAGCTGCCCTTAAAACTTGTAGCATTATTTCTCAAGCGTGATGACTGACATTCTGAGTGGGATAAGGATTTACTGTTCAGGACTACTTCATGCATTGAGGGGCTTTTAGCATCTCTGGTTTCTGTTCATTATCTGCCAAGAGCATACTCCAAACACGATCACAATCAAATATATCTCCATGCATTTTGAAACATTGTCAGGATAAGCAAATAATACCCATGGATGCTCTAATTTTGAGCAAGAAGTAAAGGGAATGTCCAAAGAAAAGTTTAAAAATACAAAAACTCTGTGGGCCAAGCAATATTCTATCTACTAAGAGATACAGGATAAAAGATATCACAGCTCCTGATTAAAAGCAACCAGAGATGAAATTCTGAAGATAATTCAATCTAACCACAATAAAGTGTATTTAAAAAAAGAGAGAGAGATTTGGAATAAGATGGGGAAATATGTAGATAAACTAGTAAACTGAGAGAATCTCAGAGGTAGATGCTACCACCAAGTCTCTACTTTAGCTATGAATGGAAAATAAATCATTTGCTGATGTTAGACAAACATTTAACTTCATTCCCTCCTGATACTCTGCTATAATTACAGTACAAGGATTTTAAAGGGAGGGGGCATAATTGTAAAAGGACCACAGGATGAGAGATGAACACTGGAAGACACAAAGAAGAAATTAAAAAAGTAAGTGACTTATCAGGTCACAAAGAGCTAAAAACCTAAGGTTGCAATGGACAGAGTGGAGAAGCAACTTAATTTACACCATCTATCTTCTTGCTACCTCTCATCAAAACCCAGAGAAATTAGCAGAATCTCCTTTGGAAAATAGAGTATAGAAAAAGCTAAAACTAAGACTGACTGAAAGTCTATTTATGGAACAGAATGCCCAATATTCCCAAATCTGCACATCTGGGCAACTGACCATCTCTCTCCCCAGGGAAGATAGTGTATTATCTTGAAAGGCTCTAAAAGAGTTTCCAGACTAGGAGACCCCAGTAGTGCCTAGTACAATAAATTAAAATCAACTGACATCAAGGCACATCATTGTAAAATTTCGGAATACCGGAAACAAGAAGCAGCTACAAGCCTGGGGCAGAAGAGGAAGGCCGGGGAGTGAGGATAGCTCTGGAAGAGACTTCATCAAGAAAATTAAAGTAATAAAATACCTGATGGGTCAAAGCATCTGAATGTATTGAGCAGAAACTACTGGCAAAGAAAGTAGTGCATATAAAAAATTACACCAAAAAAATTATTAACTCCAAAGATTATAGAAGTGTGTGCAGAAAAGGAGTAATCATCACACATTTAGATCGTTATGATTTTCAAAGTATAAATTCACTTAAATCTATCATTCAGTACAAACCAGCCGTCAGTATGCATTTTCTTTATATATAAAGACAGTTACTATTGTATAAAGGACCCACAAATATTTCAGGACTAAAATGGAATCTTTGTATTCAAAAAGGTTAGGAACCATAGCTATGGAAGATGAGGTTGTTTCTGAAAAATTATGTACCAAAATGCTATTATGAGACTTGGAGCAGGGATTGTGAAACAGAATCAAGAGAAAATTTAAAAAATAGAACTGATAAGATTTAGAAAACCAATTGAACAGTTAACCAAAGGTGAAAAAGTCTGGAATTAATCCTGGTTTTCATGTTTGACCAATGGTACAATTATGGTCCTGCTAATAATAATGAGGTTTTATTGTGGACATGATGAACCTCAGAAGTGAAAATCCATGGAACGGTCCTTTTTAACTTCCACACATGACATTTCACAGTCCACTTTCCAAGTAAGATAAAGCAGTTTTGACTTAAAAGCCACAGAGCTAAAATTATGACTATTTCCACTGAAGAAGGCACCTCTATAAACCTAGGATCAAAATCCTTCCGAACATTTTGATCAGCAGCACTGCCTTCCATTCTAAAAAAAATTTGAAAAATCCATCTAATGATTTCAGGGGTAATAAACAATTCTGTATATATCAAGTGAAATGCAGGTACACACGGATGGCCAAACAGAAGAAAATAACTCTAAAGACAACTAAAGTAATCAAAGATACTTTAAAATAAGGTAATATACAGATATTAATAGAATTTAAATCATAACTTACTCTTCTTAGGAGGGGAATCATTATGTTCTCAGGAATTCTAGCTTGTGTGATGTGTTTTAATCAGTGCAGTTTTATTCTGATGCTCAAACTGTCCCATCATTAGCCAAGTAGGAGCTCCTTCAAATTGATTCCTGTATCCTTTTCATAGACTCCCACCTTCTCTTCCTTCTGACACAAAGAGATCTCTCCATTTTATCTTGAGTATCTCTTGTCTCAACTCTGGAGCCAACCAGCAGGAAACAACATTTACAGGCCACAATCTATGTTCTAGGATTCTATGCCACAATCTATGCCACTGGATTAACACTGCTTCTAGTCTTTCCCTTAGACAGCTTTAAGAAATCTGTTTTCTCTTCCCGAAAAGTATACACCATAAATTCACCAACTCCAGCTAACATTACAGTGTTTGACATAAATTCTGTGATTTTGTATTTCCATCTTTCTCTTACAGTGAAAAATCTCAGATTGTAATAACATTAACTTGTTTCTTACTAATAAATACAAGATTCTACATATATACTTACAGGTTTCAAAATAACCATACTAATAATTAGTAATGACAATAAATAACACTGTTGAACGCAATTTATAATTTCCGAGTGTTTCTTTCTGGTCTAATATTGTATCCCACCAGGGATACACATGTAAAATACTATGTACTAAATTTACTTGAAATATTCTTCTCAGATGGCTATGGCACCAACATAATAATAGATGCAAATGTTTTACCTGTTTTTGATCTTTAGGAACTACTTCTGCTTTATTATTTTAAATCCTGTAAAGCATCTATTTGACTCCAAAACCTAAAGCAAACAACAGGCATACAACCTGAAAGATCTACCTTTTACCCTCTCTCCCTCTTCCCACTCCATAACCACCTTTATTAATTTGGTTTATTTGTCCACTGCTCTGTATGCTGTACTCTTGAAACAAG